CAATGTTATCGATTCCATCCGGATGATCACTGGATCCAAATCCTCAACTAATTTGTTGTCTTTTTTCATTAAACCCATTTCGACTTCTCCTAATGACAGGTAATGATAAGAAATATCTTAAATTCATAAGAAGTGGAAAATTAGATTATTTATCCAGGTGGAGTTATTGTAATTTGGAGCATGAATCGTATCTTAATGCGGGCACACCAGAACAATACGGGCACCTTTCAATCTGTCAATCACAACCTCTAAATCAGATAGGTTTATGGAGGAACCAAGCCAGTGCCCATGTAATTAATTAGTGACCAGGTGGAAGTGTAGGTAAGAACAGTGTGCACAGCTCCTCCATCATACCAATTTGCCATTTGGATGGACCAAGAAAAAACTTAGTATTAAAAAAAGGAGGCTAGAAATAACTCCCTTCAACACTTGTTTTTAAACAAGAACACATTGAGCCTGAAATGTCTAGCAGTCTTCCACAATACACCAGACAAACATGACAGTAACAAACAACTGAAAAAACAACTTTCTTGTTCCAATAAAATAACAAAAAACAAAATTCGAAGGTTAAATTTTTGGCATATGCTATTTAATGCACAGAAAAGTCTTGTGGCAATGCATCTTTATTTTTTCCCATGTACCCCTTGGATGCAAAACTGTATGGCAAAATTGTAAATAAGATGAGTTGCTGTGTGATATTTCACATCCTTAATCTAACATAATAGAAAGAGAAAGAAAAAGACTTGGAACTTGAATCAAAATCCATTATTTGCCTTTAAATATATCATGAACTTGGAAAAAAAACGTTTTTTCTCTCTGTAGTCACAATAAGCCATCTAAATGCACAAGATCCTGCTGTGCCAAAGAAGTGGGAAATCAAGAAACTACTTAACACCCATAGGCTGCAGTATTATTGGCAAGGATGACAGACACGCAGTAATAGAAAGGTGTGCTCCTGCTAAACAAGATACAGAAAGTGAAAAGTTTGGACAATTTCCCTGTTGGGTGCTAATGAATTAAACATACCCACAATTTAAAATTCATGCATTTAGATGGACCATCAAAACTGACCCCAGATCAGGGCAAACTTAATCACCTTGGACTTAAAACCTAAAGACTGTGGGACATATCTTGACCTTTGTCCAGCCTTGACCAGTTGACCACTCTCAGTAACATCTAATTAAAATATAAACGTGGGCTAAACAAAGAAAGTAATATTAATTTTAAAGAAACAATGGAATGCTACTTAATAAAGGATGTAATGAAGTAAACTATTTCTTGTAGGCGGAAAAATCAGCAAGGTTAACTGACAGGTCCATCAAGAGAGTTCGCAAGATTTTATATTACAGAGGAGACACTACTGGTGTTTCTGTTCCTTACTGTTTACATAACCTTACCAGATTATACTGATAGATTAAAGACTACACCAGTTTTAGTGAACAGAAACACCCTGCAAAGAACCTTTTAGTATAGCTGTAGTCTGATCAATAGTGTCAAGCCCTAGAATAATTCTGCATGGGGCAAACTGATGGGTGATCTATGTAGTGGAAAAATGCAATTTCTTGTGTAAGCACATTTTTATAGGCTCTGTTGTTTGGGGGATTAGTTGGCGGCTGGCTATCAAAACGGGTGATCATTTTTTCTGTTTATTCAAATGGTCCTGATAAAAAATGGATATCTCATTGATTACCCTCTAGCCCACCTTAGTGGGGTTAGTGAGTGCTAACAGTATCTTTAACCTGAGCTGCCAACTTCATTTATTTTTTTATAAAAGACTGAGGTAAAAAATATACAATCAAAACTTCAGACTTCACAGGAAAAAAATCATGGTCTCAGATATCTAGTTTACAAGCTGGGATTGCAATATGAGTCATGTAATTACATTATTTCTTTGCAAACCAAATCCCTAGGTTGGACTACAGAATCAATAGTAACAGAATTTAGTCTATCATGTACAACCTGCCTCTTAAAGTCTAATTGCCATTCCCTTCCCCTAAGATTTTGTGAAAAGACAATGACAGTTTTTATTTAACTTAAAAAATTGTGTTCAATTTACATGCAAATGATGTATATAGCAATCCTTGATCTCCAGTGGGCCAATACACCATTCTATAAGATTACTACAAATAGTATTCTTACATCAATTCTTCAATATAAAAAATGCTGTTAATTAGTGTCCTTATTCTTTGAGGAAAAGGCTTATTAAGTTTTCAAGACATTGGCCATATTGTTACTTTACAGAACTGCACAATGGATATTTACAAGTTTTGTAACAATATAGTCAAGATTTACCTAAAATCTTGTGACTTGGCATTAAAAAGCATTACCCATACTAATTATGAATTCATTAAGTGTATGGCAGATTATGAACAAATGACAAAACTTTTACATGCTTCATGTTCTGGTATAGCATAAAAATTAATCCTATGAAAATCTGGTTCTCATCTAATAATACATGCAGTACCTTGGGTTTATTCCGACTTTTTTTTCAGGTCTGTTGACTTAAACATCTCTAGCCTAATAATTTTTGACTCAATAAATGTCAAATTAGCGAGGAAAAAAATTTTTTTTTTCTTCATTTTCCAGGCAACATTGTATCTCATTATGTAGTAGCCGAGGAAGGTTTTGCCAGAGAGACCCTAAGCCAAGTGGGCAGGGTCACGGGGGACATGGAGATCAATAGCCACACTATCAACACTGTTGATAATGACTACATAATGGAATAATGAACTTTGTCCCACACCATTTAGTTTGCCAGTTTGTGGTCAATATACACTGTGCTGGAACATGTATCAGAATTTATTTCATAACAAAGAATTGGGATATTGAGTTGGACTGTGTTTGTGTAATAAATCTGGTCTTCAAGTGAGATCAATACTTAACACGCTCTGCGGTGCACGGGTTATTACTCCATTTAAATTCCTGGATTCAAGAATATTCTGTGGAACTTATTTCAGATCCCATTAAGATCAAATGTATTGATTCCTGAATATGCAATATATCTAAACTGCTATAGACAAATGAAAAGTAATAGTATTCCTAATCAAAACTTTGAACTCATCATACACTGATGAAAAAAAGATATCCGTTATCAAAAAACACCTGAAATTCCAACACTCAGAATTTTCTTTTCACTGTAACTATCTCCAGCAACCAAATCTTTTAAGGAAATAAAAATCAAATTCCACAAAATATGTCTTTTGCAAGGTTGATATAATCCATATCTATCATTCTCATTCTATCAGCAGATTTACCAAGAGCTTGGTAGCATCCCATCCTTAACAACCCCAGCAAAGTCTCAGTAGAGGCATCAAGAGTACCATCATCCATTACAACTATCAGATCCAACACCAGATCAATACATCTCTTATGCATTTTGTCTGTACACAAGTCTGAATCCTCATGCTGTTACAAATCTATAACAATTCATGTTTTGGGCTTTAAAACAAAATATCGTCATTGGGGAATAGGGCAGTTCTGATGCAGTATACTCTTTGCAATAAAACTATGATAAAATTGTACCCTTTTCCTCAAAGAAAGACATTTGTTTCAAGCTTTTAGTATGGGAATTTAGCAGGTTATAGATCTTTCTTTTTTTATACAGATAAGATGGTATGTGAATCCCTAGAGGAAATTTTATTTGATATTCCACATTCTAGTCAGCTGAAGTAGACAGTGCATTCAAGTGAAATGCCCACACACTGGATTAGCATTAAATGGTGTAAGTTTAAAAGCTCTTGGCAATAGATAAAACTGGCTTCAGACAGTTGGATTTATCCGAAGATGGCCATTTGTCTGATGAACACCATGATAAACCCAGATCTAGCTCATAATGTACTGTTTGGGGAATTTGCTCTCTGCCTTAACTTGTCTAACAAGCTATTGCTGGAGAGTTCAGGTAGAAAGATTAAATAATACTCGTATGTAACGGAAAAAGTCCCTGAAAATATCTGAACTGACATGACGTTGTCGTTGAGCATCATATCCTTTGACTTGGAAAATATCATCAGAAAGGAAAGAATAAAAGTTTGGACACTACGATTCTCATGTCATCTATTTAACTGCGCATTATATCTGAAAAGGGGTGTATACCTATATAAACTGAATAAATATTCATGGTGCACAACTGTCTCTGATCAATGTCAGCATTACTGTTATCACAGCTATAACATGTCATGCAAAGACAATCCTTAAATTAACTTTTAAGGACAAGATATTCATACCAAACCCTAAGGAAAAAGGTTAAGATGGAAAGGTACTTAATCATCTCATAAAAAGATCAAGGATGGGATTCAAAACATCTTTTTTCTGTGAGGTATTGCCTTCTAGGAGACAAGCAGATTCCTTGATGTTCCTCCAAAAATGCCATATCTTCGCATCCAGCCATCTCACTAGACGACAGGCAGAATCTGATGCTACAGGCATCAAGGCTTAACAAATGAAATCTGACACGTTCTGGGGCTTATTTCAGTTATCTTTTTTTTTCATATATTTTAAAATGAAAAGAGCAGCTGAATAAACAGCACCTTTCAAGTATGACATTTAAGTGATTTTTCATCAGTTAAAAGCATGGTTTGATACAGACACATCAATCAACAGTTTAAACTTTTTAAGTTTAAATTCACAGAAAGGCCTGAATCTAAGGGTGCTTTCCCAGAGATTTAGATCGATCTAAAGATTAAGTTTTAGATCGACCTAACTCCCTGGGGGTTCACGCTAAATTGCAGTCAGCCGAGCGGGCACCACAGTTAATTACCCCCTTACAGCTTTTAGTAGGCGGAACAGACGCTTAAGCCGGCCAAGCTGACAGTAGTCTAGTGAGACTCCCCACAGGGATAGATCGATCTAAAAATCTATGGAAATGGGGTGTAAGAAAAAAGAAAAATGTTTTTCAATGAGATCTGAGGTAAAAGGATTCAATGGCCTCCTAAATATATATATAAAAAAAGATAAAAACAATTCCACTGTAGAAAACTGCATGTGCACACAGGGTCACTAACCTGGCAAAGAAAGAGGCTGCTGCAGACTGCCCTGTCATGGGGTGTTGGAGGTGGTATGGTGTCTGCTGAAGAGGGTACTGTGGAGAGTACTGACTCACAGGGGACCTCACTTGCTGGGGACTGCCCATATACTGGGGTGCTGCTGTGGTGCTGTACTGAGGTGATGCACCATTAAACTGTGGTGCTGTGGTACCATACTGAGGTGACGTGAAGCCGTACTGAGGTGCTGGACCATACTGCAATGCTGGAGTATACTGGGGGGAATAGTGAGGAGCCACTTGACCGACTGGGAACCGCCCAGTTCCATCTCTATTGGACATGTCAGTAGCCATGGCCATGTTACCTGCTTGGGTTGGAGCACCTTGTGGACCTGGATACATCTGCAGAAGACAAGAGTACAAATGAGAGTGGATTTTCTCAAACCAAACACCATGTTAAGTCAATACTACCAACTGAGATATTTCATGACTTTTAAGAAGTCTATCTACAACGTAATTTATTTTTTCAAAAAATTATTCTAAAACCTAATTTATGAGATATTTTCTTTGTTTCAGGGTTGTTAGCAATGCATACCTACTACTGGGATTGCAACTCCACTGTTTACAGATGTTATACTATTCTTTTTAATGAACTGAACAAAAATATGAAAATTGTATAGTAATGTTAATTTGCCAACCATATTGTTGATGCATCCAATAAAAGTTTACCAGATCAATAATAAATCTACTGAAATTGGGGTCCACTCCATGTTACGAAGGTTCTTTATGATGAAGGTTCGCTTTAACATGAAAAGCAGAAAATTGCTCTAAAATCAGCTGTTATGATGAAGGTCGGCTATGCCAAACACACAGGGTTCTGTATTCCGAAAAAGTATATTGATGCAATAGCTGCATTGGTAGCATAATCGAGGAAAGCACTGACCTCTGTATAGGAGGCTCTCTCATATTTGCATTTTCTGTTAATTGTGCAGATTTTGTGCATGAGAAATTCCTGATGATAAAGAGTTAAGCTTTATACATAATACGAGGTGTAACTTACCCTTCTATTTAAGTTTAGTTATAATTATACTCGAAGCGAAACATCAGCTGCACGTTGCATTTCCCAAAAACGCTTCAACTTTTACGGCATTAGTCCCCAATTGCAATTTGTTTACTATACTCTGTTCGCTATCTTTGCGCTCTATCTGTACCTGTACACGCATTTCAGCATAGCGAAGCTTCGTCATGTAAAAGCGCACCCCTGAAATCATGCGCTTTCTTGTTTACAACTAAAATGTAATATATCTTTATTTTTTAAACTATTATTCCACATTTCAAAAAATGCTATTACTTAAACAGCTCCTGTTGAATAAGTCGCTTGCATGATAAAAATCATTCAGATGTCTTTCTGACACCTGCCTTATCAGCTCTGTAATCTTGTATCTAATTAACGCTGGTGTAGACTTGAAAATAGCAACAGACATGCACAAAGAGGGAGGATAGGCCATGCTCAGACCTGTACATCTAGAAGATCCACTTTATACTGAGATAAATATTTAGATTAAAGGCCTTTGGAATGAACAAAAACAGGCAGACATGTGCACCAAGGAAGCCTAAGAACCAAGACCTCAGCCAGGCACCCTGACCCTTTGAAGTTTATGTATTATTTGTAATATAGCAGGGGCCAAAAGTACTCTCCTATTTCACCCATAAACTACTCAAAATCAACAAAATTTCAAGGAAAAAACTTTCAGTTTATGTTACTAATGGTGAAATACAACAAACAGAAGTGTGGTCAATTTACACAGACAACAAAATCGGATCAGTTTTTGGATTTTAAAGTCGTGGAAGTTAAAAACCCTGAGTGACGAAGAGGGTTATCTTTCCTCAGTTTCTCCTGGGCTGACAGCTTCATTGCAATAATATTTGCATTTAGTGCCCTAGAATGATGACAGAACCAGTCAAACTAACTACTGGTGACATCCAGGACAGAATGATGGCACTTGTGTTCCCCTGTGCTTGCAACATTGCAGCACCACCACCCACCAAAAAGAACTTTAGAGTCAATTGAAACAATAATATTTGGTTGTTGAACATAGATCCTAATCACACAATTTCTCCCAATGTTTTATTTGGTTTGTTTGGTGGTTTGTTTCTCAGTCAGTGGTGGTGAGACTCATAACAGTCTGACCACATGCCTAAACACCGACTCTCTATATTTAACCCTCTTCATACTGCGCTGCAAGCTCTTAAAACTTATTCTCATAATACACTTAAAATTCAATAAATTTCTGTCTGATTCAAAGTCATTATATGTTCCTTTGATGCCCATTTACGCTGTGAAAGTTATTTTCAGTTCTTGAATTAAAAACAGTTTCTGTTATCTTTAACCTTCACTGTACAGAGTTTACAATATCAAGACAACTTGCTACATTTTCTAAGCTAAACAGTAGAATTTTACAGATAAATACAGCAATTAATTTTCCTTATATTCATAAGTTTCATGAGGTTAATCTATAAATTTGTAACAACACTATTTGTTTAGCCAACTTTCTTTGTAGCTATCATCAGGATTGCAAAACTTTCACAATCCTACCTTGATAAATCTACCATTTGCTTCTAATCCTTTCCGTCGAAAAGTTCAAACTCCCATTGACAAGCCTTTTAACTTTTGTCAAGTAAATCAGTTTCAAATGCAACCACTGTTAAGAGTCCTGCTACCTTCAATCAAATCCTACACAAGTTCACTTCAGGCACTAAAGAATGGTCCACCATATATTAGTGCCCAAGAAAAAATTTTTTTTTAAAAATTGATAACTTTCTTGCTGACCACTTGAAATGCGTCTCCACTCCTAGATGTCGGCCTTTATGCAGCATGTTTGGCAGTTTATTCAAGCATTAGTAAAATCAATAAGGATTACCCACAATCAGGTATTGACTCCACTCCACAAGAATGCTTCAAGCAACCCCACAACTTGACATCTCCATTGCATAGCTTAGACACTCTGCCATATCTATCACCAAGCAAAGGGGACCTGAACATGAATGATGGGCNCTACTCTCATCTAATGATACATGCAACACCTTGGGTTTATTCAGACTTTTTTTCAAGTCTGTTGACTTAAACATCTCTAGCCAAAAAAATTTTGACTCAATAAATGTCAAATTAGTGAGAAAAAAAAACATTTTTCTACAATTTCCAGGCAACATTGTATCTCATCATGTAGTAGCCGAGGAAGGCTTTGCCAGAGAGACCCTAAGCCAAGTGGGCAGGGTCACGGGGGACATGGAGATCAATAGCCACACTATCAACACTGTTGATAATGACTACATAATGGAATAATGAACTTTGTCCCACACCATTTAGTTTGCCAGTTTGTGGTCAATATACACTGTGCTGGAACATGTATCAGAATTTATTTCATAACAAAGAATTGGGATATTGAGTTGGACTGTGTTTGTGTAATAAATCTGGTCTTCAAGTGAGATCAATACTTAACACGCTCTGCGGTGCACGGGTTATTACTCCATTTAAATTCCTGGATTCAAGAATATTTTGTGGAACTTATTTCAGATCCCATTAAGATCAAATGTATTGATTCCTGAATATGCAATATATCTAAACTGCTATAGACAAATGAAAAGTAATAGTATTCCTAATCAAAAGTTTGAACTCATCACACAATGAAGAAAAAAAAAAGATACCCGTTATCAAAAAACATTTTAAAAACACTCAAAATTTCAACTCTCAGAATTTTCTTTTCACTATAACTATCTCCAGCAACCAAATCTTTTAAGGAAATAAAAAATCAAATTCCACAAAATATGTCTTTTGCAAGGTTGATATAATCCATATCTATCATTCTCATTCTATCAGCAGATTTACCAAGAGCTTGGTAGCATCCCATCCTTAACAACCCCAGCAAAGTCTCAGTAGAGGCATCAAGAGTACCATCATCCATTACAACTATCAGATCCAACACCAGATCAATACATCTCTTATGCATTTTGTCTGTACACAAGTCTGAATCCTCATGCTGTTACATATCTATAACAATTCATGTTTTGGGCTTGAAAACAAAATATCGTCATTGGGGAATATGGCAGTTCTGATGCAGTATACTCTTTGCAATAAAACTGTGATAAAATTGTACCCTTTTTCTCAAAGAAAGACACTTGTTTAAAGCTTTTAGTATGGGAATTTAGCAGGTTATAGATCTTTCTTTTTTTATACAGATAAGATGGTATGTGAATCCCTAGAGGAAATTTTATTTGATATTCCACATTCTAGTCAGCTGAAGTAGACAGTGCATTCAAGTGAAATGCCCACACACTGGATTAGCATTAAATGGTGTAAGTTTAAAAGCTCTTGGCAATAGATAAAACTGGCTTCAGACAGTTGGATTTATCCGAAGATGGCCATTTGTCTGATGAACACCATGATAAACCCAGATCTAGCTCATAATGTACTGTTTGGGGAATTTGCTCTCTGCCTTAACTTGTCTAACAAGCTATTGCTGGAGAGTTCAGGTAGAAAGATTAAATAATACTCGTATGTAACGGAAAAAGTCCCTGAAAATATCTGAACTGACATGACGTTGTCGTTGAGCATCATATCCTTTGACTTGGAAAATATCATCAGAAAGGAAAGAATAAAAGTTTGGACACTACGATTCTCATGTCATCTATTTAACTGCACATTATATCTGAAAAGGGGTGTATACCTATATAAACTGAATAAATATTCATGGTGCACAACTGTCTCTGATCAATGTCAGCATTACTGTTATCACAGCTATAACATGTCATGCAAAGACAATCCTTAAATAAACTTTTAAGGACAAGATATTCATACCAAACCCTAAGGAAAAAGGTTAAGATGGAAAGGTACTTAATCATCTCATAAAAAGATCAAGGATGGGATTCAAAACATCTTTTTTCTGTGAGGTATTGCCTTCTAGGAGACAAGCAAATTCCTTGATGTTCCTCCAAAAATGCCATGTCTTCGCATCCAGCCATCCCACTAGACGACAGGCAGAATCTGATGCTACAGGCATCAAGGCTTAACAAATGAGATCTGACAAGTTCTGAGGCTTATTTCGGTTATCTTTTTTTTTCATATATTTTAAAATGAAAATAGCAGCTGAATAAACAGCACCTTTCAAGGATGACATTTAAGTGATTTTTCATCAGTTAAAAGCATGGTTTGGTACAGACATATCAATCAACAGTTTAAACTTTTTAAGTTTAAACTCACAGGTTTGAATCTAAGAAGAAAAAAGATGCTTTTCAATGAGATCTGAGGTAAAAGGATTCAATGGCCTTTTAAATACAAAAAAATAAGAAAGACAAAAACACTTCCACTGCAGAAGACTACATGTGCACACAAGAACACTAACCTGGCAAAGAAAGAGGCTGCTGCAGACTGCCCTGTCATGGGGTGTTGGAGGTGGTATGGGGTCTGTTGAAGAGGGTACTGTGGAGAGTACTGACTCACAGGGGACCTCACTTGCTGGGGACTGCCCATATAATGGGGTGCTGCTGTGGTGCTGTACTGAGGTGATGCACCATTAAACTGTGGTGCTGTGGTACCATACTGAGGTGACGTGAAGCCATACTGAGGTGCTGGACCATACTGCAATGCTGGAGTATACTGGGGGGAATAGTGAGGAGCCACTTGACCGACTGGGAACCGCCCAGTTCCATCTCTATTGGACATGTCAGTAGCCATGGCCATGTTACCTGCTTGGGTTGGAGCACCTTGTGGACCTGGATACATCTGCAGAAGACAAGAGTACAAATGAGAGTGGATTTTCTCAAACCAAACACCATGTTAAGTCAATACTACCAACTGAGATATTTCATGACTTTTAAGAAGTCTATCTACAACGTAATTTATTTTTTCAAAAAATTATTCTAAAACCTAATTTATGAGATTTTTTCTTTGTTTCAGGGTTGTTAGCAATGCATACCTACTACCGGGATTGCAACTCCACTGTTTACAGATGTTATACTATTGTTTTTAATGAACTGAACAAAAATATGAAAATTGTACAGTAATGTTTATTTGCCAACCATATTGTTGATGCATCCAATTAAAGTTTACCAGATCAATAATAAATCTACTGAAATTGGGGTCGACTCCATGTTACGAAGGTTCTTTATGATGAAGGTTCGCTTTAACATGAAAAGCAGAAAATTGCTCTAAAATCAGCTGTTATGATGAAGGTCGGCTATGCCAAACACACAGGGTTCTGTATTCCGAAAAAGTATATTGATGCAATAGCTGCATTGGTAGCATAATCGAGGAAAGCACTGACATCTGTATAGGAGGCTCTCTCATATTTGCATTTTCTGCTAATTGTGCAGATTTTGTGCATGAGAAATTCCTGATGATAAAGAGTTAAGCTTTATACATAATACGAGGTGTAACTTACCCTTCTATTAAAGTTTTGTTATAATTATACTTGAAGCGAAACATCAGCTGCACGTTGCATTTCCCAAAAACGCTTCAACTTTTACGGCATTAGTCCCCAATTGCAATTTGTTTACTATGTTCGCTATTTTTGCGCTCTATCTGTACCTGTACGCGCATTTCAGCATAGCGAACCTTCGTCATGTAAAAGCGCACCCCTGAAATCATGCGCTTTCTTGTTTACAACTAAAATGTAATATATCTTTATTTTTTAAACTATTATTCCACATTTCAAAAAATGCTATTACTTAAACAGCTCCTGTTGAATAAGTCCCTTGCATGATAAAAATCATTCAGATGTCTTTCTGACACCTGCCTTATCAGCTCGGTAATCTTGTATCTAATTAACGCTGGTGTAGACTTGAAAATAGCAACAGACATGCACAAAGAGGGAGGATAGGCCATGCTCAGACCTGTACATCTAGAAGATCCACTTTATACTGAGATAAATATTTAGATTAAAGGCCTTTGGAATGAACAAAAACAGGCAGACATGTGCACCAAGGAAGCCTAAGAACCAAGACCTCAGCCAGGCACCCTGACCCTTTGAAGTTTATGTATTATTTGTAATATAACAGGGGCCAAAAGTACTCTCCTATTTCACCCATAAACTACTCAAAATCAACAAAATTTCAAGGAAAAAACTTTCAGTTTATGTTACTAATGGTGAAATACAACAAACAGAAGTGTGGTCAATTTACACAGACAACAAAATCGGATCAGTTTTTGGATTTTAAAGTCGTGGAAGTTAAAAACCCTGAGTGACGAAGAGGGTTATCTTTCCTCAGTTTCTCCTGGGCTGACAGCTTCATTGCAATAATATTTGTATTTAGTGCCCTAGAACGATGACAGAACCAGTCAAACTAACTACTGGTGACATCCAGGACAGAATGATGGCACTTGTGTTCCCCTGTGCTTGCAACATTGCAGCACCACCACCCACCAAAAAGAACTTTAGAGTCAATTGAAACAATAATATTTGGTTGTTGAACATAGATCCTAATCACACAATTTCTCCCAATGTTTTATTTGGTTTGTTTGGTGGTTTGTTTCTCAGTCAGTGGTGGTGAGACTCATAACAGTCTGACCACATGCCTAAACACCGACTCTCTATATTTAACCCTCTTCATACTGCGCTGCAAGCTCTTAAAACTTATTCTCATAATACACTTAAAATTCAATAAATTTCTGTCTGATTCAAAGTCATTATATGTTCCTTTGATGCCCATTTACGCTGTGAAAGTTATTTTCAGTTCTTGAATTAAAAACAGTTTCTGTTATCTTTAACCTTCACTGTACAGAGTTTACAATATCAAGACAACTTGCTACATTTTCTAAGCCAAACAGTAGAATTTTACAGATAAATACATCAATTAATTTTCCTTATATTCATAAGTTTCATGAGGTTAATCTATTAATTTGTAACAACACTATTTGTTTAGCCAACTTTCTTTGTAGCTATCATCAGGATTGCAAAACTTTCACAATCCTACCTTGATAAATCTACCATTTGCTTCTAATCCTTTCCGTCGAAAAGTTCAAACTCCCATTGACAAGCCTTTTAACTTTTGTCAAGTAAATCAGTTTCAAATGCAACCACTGTTAAGAGTCCTGCTACCTTCAATCAACTCCTACACAAGTTCACTTCAGGCACTAAAGAATGGTCCACCATATATTAGTGCCCAAGAAAAAAAAATGAAAAAAAATTGATAACTTTCTTGCTGACCACTTGAAATGCGTCTCCACTCCTAGATGTCGGCCTTTATGCAGCATGTTTGGCAGTTTATTCAAGCATTAGTAAAATCAATAAGGATTACCCACAATCAGGTATTGACTCCACTCCACAAGAATGCTTCAAGCAACCCCACAACTTGACATCTCCATTGCATAGCTTAGACACTCTGCCATATCTATCACCAAGCAAAGGGGACCTGAACATGAATGATGGGTATTTAAATATAAAAACCCTCATTCAGTGTCTGAATTGCTGATCTATAATCCAAGGAATGTGTATAATCAACCCCACCCAGCACTTCACCTTGGCCAACACAGGCGCGTGGCTGCCCTGGCAGAAAGGTGGGCCTCCCATATCTTGGAGACCTCTTGAATACAAATCAAACTTTTTTCATAGAAGTCAAGAGGCGAATACAGCACTCACCTGTCAATCATTGACACTAATGAAAAGCATAGTGAATAAAGCTTTTTTGTCGAATCTCTACAGAAAATTTTTCTCTGTAACCAGATGACCAAGTAGGGTCTTTGATTTTTTCCCTCAAAAGTCATTTCCCAACGGGGCACATTTTCTCAGTTTTTTGTCCTTTTTTAATTTCACACTAGAATGCTCCTGCTTTTTTATATTTTGCCCATCAATTTCCCATGTAAAACAAGCTCCCCAATGTGTACAAGTCATTAACATAGCAAACAGACAGCGCCTTTGAAAGTGTTCCTCCAGGTGGTCATTGCCTCTTTGTTTTGGACCATTTATAATATAATAATAATAACATTGTCATAACAGCAACATCTGCCTACCAAAAATTACCTTATTTAATGACAACAAATAAACATTGTATAATTTTGTCTGACATAGGATGCAAAACTTTTTTATGTCACAGACAATCAAGACAAGTCTAAAGTTATCAATTGCAACGTAAAATAAAATGAAGAAATGTAAAAAAAGAAAATTACGTTGGAAATATCTGATCAAGACCCCTACAATAACAGCAGTTAAGAGTCATGAAGGACATTTAAACATACACTCAACTGTCCACACACATACATAGATATACCAGAGTTATGTCATATTTGTAAATGGTATATATATTTACTATATAACGTTATATACTGGTGCACTTGTTTGATCACGCCAAACATCTACTTGTGAAGAAATTGGTCCCTGTCACAGTTCTAAGCTGCACAGAGGACAAAGCTGCACGAATAATGACATTTACCAACTGAAATATTTACATCCAGACAAATCCGGGTAATTCAATTAACGTGTCTCTCTCTGTGACAGAATCACCTGTGCTTTGATTAAAGATTTTATGCCTAATCAATCATAAAATGCTTAATTATCCATAGGGTGAAAATCTCCTTAGAATGTTGACATGTTATAATCTTTTGAACCATTCTACCTATTGGTTGAAGGAAAACCTTAAAAGACATGTGTGGCAAATATTCTTATTCACAATACAGGGAAATAGTCAGTTGCAGAGGCAATATACCACAGTTAATGGGCTATAAAAACACTAAGTGTCTTATCTTATTTAAGCTTAGGATCAGAACACTATGGAAACACCAATTGTAATTTCAGGAGCAGTCACTACAGAAATGTTAAAGCAGGTCTTAATTAATCAATAGCCAGGACTGTCTATTCTCTCTCCAACTGTTTAATTCCCATTGTCAGTGTTTGAAGGATAAATATTTCTTTTCCCCTTCTCCAAACATTGGATCATGCCCAGTAATCCACACTGGCTCCACATCTTACATCACTATTGCCCACATAGCGCGCGGCCAAATGTAGCCAATAGCCTAATAAACATAAATGATTAAAAGTGTGTGTGTGTGTGTGTGTGTGTGTGTGTGTGTGTGTGTGTGTGTGTGTGTGTGTGTGTGTGTGAAAAACAAGCAAAAAAAATGTATGATTGTATCGAAGTGTTCAAATACCGCATTTGTGTATCTTCTAAAATTGATTATATAGTATTTTCCAAGCGACAGATAACACTGAAGATATTATTTTAAAGAAATCCATTATATTCAAATTAGAGTTGTATCCTTTATCTATTCCTTTTGATGTTCTATCTGCAGAGTGAAATTAACTCAAGCACATAGTTAAATCAAATTGACTTTTCATTAAACNCCAGGACACAAATACCACGGAATGGCCCATATATTTACTATATAACGTTATATACTGGTGCACTTGTTTGATCACGTCAAACATCTACTTGTGAAGAAATTGGTCCCTGTCACAGTTCTAAGCTGCACAGAGGACAAAGCTGCACGAATAATGACATTTACCAACTGAAATATTTACATCCAGACAAATCCGGGTAATTCAATTAACGTGTCTCTCTCTGTGACAGAATCACCTGTGCTTTGATTAAAGATTTTATGCCTAATCAATCATAAAATGCTTAATTATCCATAGGGTGAAAATCTCCTTAGAATGTTGACATGTTATAATCTTTTGAACCATTCTACCTATTGGGTGAAGGAAAACCTTAAAAGACATGTGTGGCAAATATTCTTATTCACAATACAGGGAAATAGTCAGTTGCAGAGGCAATATACCACAGTTAATGGGCTATAAAAACACTAAGTGTCTTATCTTATTTAAGCTTAGGATCAGAACACTATGGAAACACCAATTGTAATTTCAGGAGCAGTCACTACAGAAATGTTAAAGCAGGTCTTAATTAATCAATAGCCAGGACTGTCTATTCTCTCTCCAACTGTTTAATTCCCATTGTCAGTGTTTGAAGGATAAATATTTCTTTTCCCCTTCTCCAAACATTGGATCATGCCCAGTAATCCACACTGGCTCCACATCTTACATCACTATTGCCCACATAGCGCGCGGCCAAATGTAGCCAATAGCCTAATAACCATAAATGATTAAACGTGTGTGTGTGTGTGTGTGTGTGTGCGTGTGTGTGTGAAAAACAAGCAAAAAAAATGTATGATTGTATCGAAGTGTTCAAATACCGCATTTGTGTATCTTCTAAAATTGATTATATAGTATTTTCCAAGGGACAGATAACACTGAAGATATTATTTTAAAGAAATCCATTATATTCAAATTAGAGTTGTATCCTTTATCTATTCCTTTTGATGTTCTATCTGCAGAGTGAAATTAACTCAAGCACATAGTTAAATCAAATTGACTTTTCATTAAACAATTTCCAATGTCCAATCATCAGGTGCTGGGAAAGAAAAGATGAACGTGAGCATCTTCATAATTAGAGGTCACAGACAATCATCTGCCAATGTACGCATTCAGTTGTGACAAAGCCTAGCAGCAAGTGAGCAGGCAAAGATTATGTCACGTTGTATCAATTCACACTCCAGCGTCTTCAACTAAAGTGCACTTATTTGATTGATTATGAGAAGTTTTCTTGTGACATGAAGTGGCCTCAGGAGCTGACATGCTACGAAACCAGGGGTAGCTGACTCACACGAAGAAGCCACATCAATTTGTAGTAATCACAAGGCTCTGTTTCTTGTGGTTACGGTGTGACAGTCTCTTATGATAAAGATGGTTGGTCTGGGGCACCTTAAAAAACAACTAAGTCACAATGCTGACATTAATATATGCTCATAGTAACATCTCAACACAACTGTCACATCCCAACACAATCCACAATTCTCCTCCATCTTCCTGTCCAAAATTGGGTTCAGGAAGCAGACAGAGTAACTTATCTGGACATCTTTAATTAGACATAGGGACAGTCATTTGGTGGGGACAGCCATTACTATATCATAAGCTATGGGGGGAAAAACTGAGAAGAATGCCTTACAAGACATGGAAATGAGTTCAAGTGAAGATTTTTGTATGGAAATGGTGATTTGATTTTTCTGTTACAATGTCATTTTCTACTTCATTTCCTGTGAGTCACTGTCTGTGTTTTCAGCTAAGGACTTTTAAACATTCAATGTGTCTAATAAAACTCTACTTCAACAACAAACTTTGTGTAGATTTTATCATTTGCTTGTTTTGTTTTGTTTTATCAAAGACAAAAACTCCCTTTTCCTGAAAGGAGGGAAAAATTACACAAGTTAAAGTGACATTTACTGTCACTGATCAGAGGAAGTTCACCATTTATCATTCATAACATTGTGTTCCTTGGGCAGTTTTCAAAAAAAGTCATTGTCCAAATAAAATTGCAAATATGCTCAGACAGTTATTCCCATGATGTATTTTTAAACTATAAGTTAAAGCAGAATTTAGTTTACACAGGCATTAAGCTATAAATCACCTCTACTGAAAGGGGGGAAATCTGCCAGGTACAAGAAAATATCATTGGAAGTGCATCCATCCGATACCTTCATAAAAGACTTATTTTGGATAATTTCATTGTCACTTGTGGGGCTTGTCAAATGAAGATGACTACTGTCACAAACAAATGGCCAAAATTTTCACTCTAACTCCCAAAGAAAAGTACTTAAATGTCTAGATCATGCACAGAATACTATACCATCTTTTATTAAGTGGGGATTCTATACTATGCCATCTCTCATCAAGTGGGGACTATATCAACTCTCACTTGACCCATCAACCCACTGAACTGACCATTTTAAAACTTTCTTCCTACTTTTTACAACCTCACAAGCTCCTCAGAACTGCAAAAGGGGTAGGACAATGAAACTTCTAATTTTTTAATGAAAACTGAAATATTTTTCATTTAAATCATCTTAAAACTGGCCATTATTTCCAGACACGCCATATGGCACATGGATCCTGTCAATACTTTCCCGTCCCTCAGTTCCACTTACTTTAAGATGCAACACTGTGCCTTCAAGTTCAACGCCCTCCATACAAAGCTGGGATATTTTAGGAAAACTCATCAAAATTATTCACCTTAATACTTCCCCTTTCAGCTTTTTATATGCTCAAATATGCTATTTTTTGTCCGTTATCTGTAACTGATTTGCATTACGACTTTAAAATGTCATCTTTAAAATACCTTAGACCAGGCAAGAGCAAGATAAGCCTAATTTGTAAAACAACTGTTTTAAGGCATGCATTGCCAACAGGGGCTAAGTATTAGGGATCATTCTTAAATAACTTAAAATTCCATTTGTTTTCTAATCTATGGAACATAATTTTGGGGTTTGCACTACATACACATTGCCAGAATACAAATACATAATGAATGAAAGACTGCGCATTATTTTCATGTCAGCAAAACATTAAAAATTCTTTCCTACTTAATTCTACTACCTGACATGAAAGTCAAGCTGGCATGCAGTAACTGACTGTGTCTAAAATATTAAAGGAATTTTTGTTCAAATAAATTGACCATATTTGGCAATTTTTTACCTTTTTATTATGAAACAACATTAATGTTATGCGTAAATTGCAAATGTCATTTTTTTCCCTTTTCCATCTTTTAATGCTACCATCAACTATAAATCTGGCAAATCTCAGCCGCAAAACCAGGGGCTTCAAATGTGAAGGTACTGAACTCGGTGGTCCCGGATGCCAGCGCTTCACAATCAATCACATTTTTCTCGTGATTCTGCCGCAAAATCTAGGGTCAGCAGATACACCTGCTCAAACATGATGAAGTTTTTTAACCTCTTTTCAGGGAGCAGGCTTCGTTTTTTTTTTGTTCTGCTCATGCAATTCACTTGAGACCCCAGATACGCTGTCACAGAGTCAGACTGGTCACAAATCAATGACAGAAAACTTGGTTCCTTTTACGTCACTCTTGCATGATAGGACAAGCTTACTCTTTTTCCAAAGAAACTGGGTACTATGCATTGCAAAAAGGCCATCAGGTACAGAAATGCTTTGTGTACTAAAAGCATCAATATTGAAAAAAATTAGTGAAACTTTGATTATGGTTAATTTTCAACAACAACACTGTAAACCCTCAAATGGTTTTCATGTCCGCTTGTTACAGAAATATCATATTCTTTTATGCCACTAACTCTTTTAAATCTTTGATAACATTGGTCTGGAGCTTGATACAATTTTACCTGTGGTGGAATAAGGTAGTTACCATTGCTTTTAATTTTTAAACACTCACTCCCAGTAGTCAACTAAAGCTGATCAATCATTGGGCATGCACAGTTTGTCTTAACTATCTCTCTTTGACTCTTTTCATTTTAGTACTTGTGTAGTGTCCACACTATGTACTTCACTTCACTTCACTACTGTCCACTGGCTATCTAAAAAATTCTTACCTGGTTTTGCTTGGCTGGGTTCATCCACAGTAACACGTTCTGTTCCAGGTAGGCCTGAGCTTGGGCTGCAACTGGACTGGGAGAGTTATTCCCGTTAGATGAATGATGGGCTCGGCTTTGCCTCGCTAATCTAAAATAATGAATAAGAAGAAAATAATCAGGAAATATTCTCTACTTTGACATTTTTTAATGTCCCCTCTGGCTAGGGTATAGAGACAAGTATGTTTTAAATCCGTCACCTCTTGGTACTGCTATGTTATATACTAGGCACGGAGCGCAATTCTTACAAATCCTGCAGCCATGTAATAAAAAGTGCTTCAGGAAAACGAGGGGGAAATGGCCCTTTTTAGGAGACACAAAAATTAAATTTGGTGTTGTAATTTCCTTTCATGCATCAAGCCGTTGTCCATCTTAAATGACTGTTCTGCTTGGCTGGTCGGTTAATTCTTTTTATGACAGATATCAACTACTGCAACATCAAAAGAATTGCTTAGAATTGCTAAAACTCCACCTACAAGAAAATGAAATCATAAAAATGGTGAACAACAGAGAAAATCCATTTCCATCATTTCTAGCACAGTCTGTCGGAGCATTTTGTTCTGTCTATTCTGTCACTGAATCCTGGTGGTATTTCCTAATACTAATTGTTCCATCAAAGCCACCTATAATCCCAAACCTACAGAATCACCATAAGTCAAACAGCAATAAAATAACTCTACAAAGCGACACTTAAGTGCATCTTTTAGCAGCAAGTCCTTGTATCACCATATGCCCTTTCTTTTCTCCTTTGTCCATGCCAGTAGAGATTGTAATATTCGTGAACTATGGTTCAACCCTAATCATTCATTTGCAATTAATTTTCACTTGTAACAAATCTGAGCTAATAGACGTAGTCAATTATTACCAAACAGGCACTCCTAATGAAAAACTCTACTTTTAATTGACTGCGCTGGTCAAATCAAGTCAGTCAGCTGAGCGTTCTGCAATGATATGCCTCTGCACATGACAAATCTCCATTTATGCTGTCGCCTGCCTCCGTGCACACATCTGTGCCGCTCTACAAACGCTACCCTTTATCAATGAGTGGGTAGTAAATGAAAAACTCTTTTGCCAAGCAGCATCCAATGTGGTTACAACAAGTTGGAAGATTGACAGAGCTTGATAACATCAAGACACCATAACTGTATTGTTATTCCCTTCAGATTTATATCTGTTTCTCCTGATAGATGTAGGGACAGGGATGAGATGACATTGGGGGCCACAGTCACCACCATCTCTGCTGGGATGTCACATACAGCAGGATTTTACTCCATATTACTTTTATCCAGCCTCCAGGTAAAAACCACAAATCAAAATGAAAATCAATGATAAATCTCATCTTGAGTGCTGATCAATTAAATACTTTTCCATTAAGGAAAAGAAGACCTATTAAATGCTACTTGAGAATATCTTACCTGCAATATCTGCCCCTTCTTTCCCAACCAGCACATGCCAGTTAATTACCCCCTAGCTGCTCTAGGAGGTGCGTCAGACAATTAAGCTGATTCCACTGATTGCACTTAAGCAAGAATCTCCCCCAGAGTTGGACTGACCCAACTAGTATGATTGAACTAAATGCAGTCTTAGAAAAGATGCAACAAGATGATTCTTCATCTGCACACTCAACAAAATCTAACTTATTGATATTTCCATTAAACTGCTGCGGAAGCTATCTGTCATACAAAAACCTGAACAGTTCACGCATGATTGCCAAAATGTCCAATTATTCAGACTGGACAAATAAAGTGCTTTTGTCAAATATCATTTTACGTGAAAAACAGGCGACAGCAGTCCAGAGTATCCTACCAACTACAAGCTGATCATTGTTTTAAAACAACATGCAACATGAAACACTGTGAAGTAGATAGGAACTAAAGCTTACTGTGCTTACACATTACCATATTGCATCCATGAAGCTGTTAGGTCCTGACAGAAGTGGACAAATCTAACAGGATGGTTACTAGCTTGTCCCCTTGCATGCAAGATTTGTGACATGTGGTTTTGGGGACCATTTCAATCCCAAAGTATATATTACCTGTATTTCATAACTATATCAGCAGGGATAAACCAATTTTTCTTCTGAAGTTGTACACTTTAAGTGCTAAAACCAGTATAGGTTTCAATGAATAAAGGCCCAGAGTGTTATCGAAACCGGTAACTTTTCATGAAAGGACCCCTACATGTAAAGCTCTATGTACCACAAAATTGGATCAAAATATGTAGTAATTGCAGGGGTTACTAGTAATTTAGCTAGGGGTTACTGATCAGAAGAAAAAAGGGATTCTGGTGACAAGTCACAATCGTGAAAAAAATTGAAAAGAAAAACTCGGATATGAACCATAGTAAGACACATGCTGAGAAAATGAAGTTCCAAAATTTGAACAATCTTGTTCAAACAAAAGCCAACATCAACCTTGATGTGTGGTATGGCTCAACATAGAACAGATGGACATGGGAGAGAAAACAACCTTTGCCAACTTCATTTTTTTTATCCTTTCTTTGTCACTGACCCCCCTCCTACACACACTTCAAAAATGAACGGTAAACCACACAAAGAATGTTTGAGGAGGTAAACCTCATCTCTACATGTTTTTGAATTGATCACTTAAATTTTTGATAAAAATACTAGTATTCAATTTTTTAAAGTAAAATAATATCAATATCAGAGAAAAACGAACTAAATTAAGCACTCTGTGCATAAAACTGAAGAAATCTGTCTTCACCCCCCCCCTCCTCCCCTCAAAGAAACCCTTTTTCCTCCTGGTCACTTACACTTACCTTCCTTCCGTCTCTTTGAAGTGGGTTTCAACAATCAGTGAGGCTTTCAAATTAAGCCACTGCTTCTTTAATAGTATTGTAGGACGCGACGACATGAGCATCAAAGGCTCAGCTACTGTTAATATTTGTTTTGAGGCGCCATTTTCAATCTCCAAAAGAAATTTATGCTAGCGACAGGCTGCTTTATTACCTGCCTTTCCTAATAGCAGTCTACTTAGTTTATCTACTTCATCACAATGCACCAGGTTACACTCCTATTGCATGTGTCAGTTTAATCTTTTCTGAGTTTCATGACTTCAAACCTTGACAAGTTATCAAATATGCAATTCAATTGTGTCATGTCCTAATATCTTACTGAGGGTAATCATATATATCTGCCACACGAAAACAGATTTTTATACTCCAAAATATAACTGAAGCTAGTTTCATATTACTACTTATATGTACATATATCCAATATGATCATTTAAGTTCATACTACAAATATATCCCAGTTTCGTGAGATAACATCATATTTCTTCTAAGTCTTCTCAAGCATTTTGCTGTAAATTCACTAAGTGGATACTGAAGTTTAAATTTATATTGCCTTACCTTCATTTGTATCACTTAAAGCTCCTAGATGTAACACACCTGAGGTAGACTACTCCCTCACCTCCAAAAAAACGTTTCTTCACAAAGTTTTCTCCTTTTTTTCTAAAGCAAGTTTACAAGCAATAAAAACCCAATATCTAACACAGTTAACACTGTTCTCCTTTGCTCACAGCCGATCTTTTCACAAAGTGTTCTTTTTTACACAAGCAAGCATACAAGCAATAAACAGGTAGACTAACCTCAGAGGCCATTGTTCCACTACAATCACAACAGATAGGTCTCCTATCCATTCATCAAAGCTCAGTGTGGGATCTCACAGCCTCTACCCCTTAATTACCATGTAACTTTGAATGCAACAGTAGGGAGAGGACAAATGGCTCTAAGTGATGATGGTTGTAATCAGAGGTAATGGAATAATAATCTAGAACCATTATGCCGAACAACAGGGACTAATAGGTCTTTCTCTCCATTTCTTGCCCAACCTGCAACCTAGGTTATCTCTTAGTGCATCAGATAACTCCTTCTTGGGGGTCCCTCAAAGGGTCGTCCTTACATAGCAGATATCTAATTAGGCAATCTTCTGGACAATTATTATACCATTATTACAGTCTTACAGGTGGTTGTCACTGTAGCTTGGATCTTGCATGCTTGGGAAATTTGTTTTGATAAAAAGCTGAAGAAAAAAACTTAATAATATGGTGCTTTCAGGAGATTCAACTTGATTTGCACATTTCTTAGGTAAATTTCCCTTCAAAATTAAGACTTACACAAAAAATTCAACTGTAGCTAGTATAAAGTATATGTTTTAAGTACGAGTACAATTGCTCTACCTTCATTTAACAACTGGTAATATGTCAAAAATCATTATTATTACCATCCTACACCTACAAAGTGATCAAAGAGTCTCGATTCTTTTCAGCTAGTTCTCAATGTCACTGAGCAGATCTGTAAACTGCATGTCTTCTCTACCAAAGCTGTAGTCACCAAGGTGTGAAATCCCAGGTGCGCAAATTACTTCAGGTGATAAATAAAGGAACAAGATTGATAAACTTATAAGACCTCTACCCCCAAGGTTTGGTTATCACTGTCACACCACGAACAGTAAAAACGACATATTTTTGGTGACACTTGCCTGCAGGGAGAGGACTTGCTTGCACGTGTTGTTATTAAGTCTTTCATTCTAACTTAACCTAAGTAAGGAGAAATCCCTTTAAAAGTCATCAAATACAGGTGTGAAAGTGATACTGGGTTGAATGGAAAGTTAATAGATGTTTAAGGAAAACATTTTAAAGTTAAAAGTAGTGATTCTATCTTATATTTTATAATGGCCTGATGGGCATTTTAGACCTATAAAATTATGCCTTGGTGTCATTATTGTTATCGCTTAGTATCGCTTAGAATTTTTTTGAAAAAAATTATCAGGCCAGTTAAAATTGTATCTGAACTGGAAAGATTCTATCCAACTCGTCTGAGCTCTGCTGAAAATTGTACGTCTTTTTTAGAAAAAAAAATCCCTCACTTTTAAAATGAACAGCAGGCACTGTATTGCAAATGTCATAAGCACTTAGCCGAAATTTTAAGCACAACAGGTCAAAAAGAAAAATAAAAACAGTACAATAACATTTCAACTGAAATATCAAGGGTTCTTTGTAATCCTTCAGATACAATTTGACAGCAGCTGACTGTGCTCTCATTAAAACAACAGCTTCTGTTAATTAACAA